GGGGGGGGGGGGGGGGGTAGATGGTTCCCCTTCTCCCTCCGTGCTCCAGCTTGCCTGCTTCAGCTCCAACAGTGGGCACTCAGAGCTAGCACTGAGCTAAGGGCTTGCAGGAGAAGCTATCCTGTTCCAATCATCTTAAAAGAGCAGAGGAGGGGTGGTGAGAGGGAAGTGCACTCCCAGGCTGATTTGAGCACTGCCTTGCACATTTTTTATTCTGCAAACATGAAGTGAGTCTTTCATTCTATTCCCTTTCCTGCTTGTTGTCAACTACTTCAAACCAGATGGGCTCAAGAGATAAAACTATAAAGAATCAATGTCTCTATTTAGTGTGATGCCAAGTCTGCATGCCATCAAAAAATCTGAGGCAAAAAAAATATGAAAAGACAATACTTCCCATAAGTATTATGTTAAAAGTAGCCTAGATGCTCTTTTTCTGTGAGCACAAACAATGGATCCATGAATCACTGCGATTTCATATCAGCAATTTTAAAAATTACCATCAAGACAAATGCCATGTCCACATTCTCTGCCATGTTCAAAGTTATTCTGTAGGCCCAATGCACCAGCCTTCCTCCCACCTATGTCAGAACGTGTTTATAGCAAGGCATGCCATGGGTGCCTGGAAAATGTACCTTTGCATGCATGAGATGCCAGAGCTATGGAGCTGAATAATGGCTCAGCATTTTAACATCCTCCCTCGATTCCCTGATCTGGACATAATCAGGATCAACCAGCCCTGCTGGTAGGAAAGACAGATCACTGTTGTCCAGAAAGTGCCAAAGGATTTTTATAGGTTTTTTTGCTGTCCTAATTTATGTATATGTGAATAAAAACTAGGAGGAAACAGCATCCAGCTATAATCTCAATCTAATATAACAGTGCTTTGTTTTTTAATTAGAACTTCAACTTGTAATAGACAATTAATATTTTTTCATTGCCATGTCACTTTTGTAAGGAGCTAGTACTGCCCTGGGACGGTTCTTCTGCAGTGCATGTGGCTGCCTCAGGACCTCAGTCCCTCCTGCTGCTCTCTCCAGTGGCACTGTAACGTTTGACATTATGACTGTTCATAGTAGAGAAATTAATATATGCTCCTCTGGGTGAGCACAGGCTTATTTAGTGGTGTAGGTGTCTTACAGCATTTTCTAGTGTTCCAACACATTTTAAAAAAGGATGCTGGGGAGGTAAAAGCAAATACTTGTGAAACTGAAATGAGCTTGCGTACAGGTTTAAAAAGACAGACTTATCATAGTGTGCTTACTCTAGGTACTTTTCATCCCTTCCATCCTTGCCCTTTTCCTATGAGGACTCTGGGGCCTTGCTGAAGGTGGTTTATTCAAGGTCCTTCCTGCTTTCCAGAATCTTTGTATCATGTAACTTACAGGAGCAAGTCACTTCTTTGTTTCAGTTTGCCCCCTCACCCCCCATTCTCTCCTCTTTTAATACCGAACTGCAAATCAAATTCCTCTGAGATAAGTCAGACTAACGCAGTACACAGTAATGCTGATAGAACGTACAGATATATTTCATACCATTAATCCAATGAGCAAAACATTCACAACTGAGAGATTATGTTGCTATAGTCCCAACTATGTGGTATAACAACACATTATAGTGTCAAGTTTTTGTGATGGATTGTATTGAAGGGAGATAAACCACTAACAGCTAAAACAAAATTCACCTCCTCAGACATGTGTTAAGTGTATTTGGGGTGTGTATCACTACTAAATGTCTTGGGGGGGGTGTCACTACTCAGGAACAAAATTCTGGATAGGCTGAGTAAATGCAACTGACGATAGCTTTAAAAATGCATAGGGGAGCAAATGGCCCAACCCAAACAGACCCGTTACTTTGTGGTGTTTGGTAAGGGGTGGTGGTAAAACCGTACACAAGAGACTGTCACTAACCAGCACAAACTCTGCCTGCTGCTCTGGTCTTGACCAAAAGGGATGAGAGTATGTGGTAAGGCCAGGGGACAATGAATTTGGTTTCCAGAATGCAGTTACTTGCTCCATGATTCCTTTGATGTTGTTGGCAAGTGGTATGCTTCAGTTTAATTCTATTAAAAAAGTTACATTTCTATTTGTTGTATCTGATAGTGCAGCCATTTGGGGGGTGGGGGTGGGTGTGTTGCATTTAATTTCATACTGTGAGATCTTTAAATCAATTCCCCGCAAAACCCAGTATGATCTTAATTCTTGATAGTTTTCTTCACATTATAAAAGAAACCTCCAGCATGCCCCAGAAGAGTAGGGCATGGATTAAACACAGCCAGGTTTACCTGGAAAAATTAGTCTGGTAGGGGGACCCAGGTTGGAATTTCAGAATACTACAAACACCACAAAAACCATGCCTTCTTCCTTAGTCATCGCTATCACTTTCTTGGTAGCACACTGGTCATGCTTAAACATCAAACTTTGTGTCTCAGCATTGCTGTAACATTGTCTAGTATTAATCCAGGCAGTCATGTGCCATGTTTTATGTAATGATCCATACTTTCACACCACAGACACACAGCCAGAAAAGGAAACACATTGATTTAGCGCTCGGTAATCCTTGTTTAATCCCCAGTCCTTTGGTTTACATCACTAACATGGCTCCTGCAGTAGTCAGTGTTCTATCTTTGTTCTTGGCAGATTGAATTAAAGGAAAGATTTATTCATTTGTAAGCTGGCTTTGCAGATGCATCTCAAATGTACTAAAATCCAAAGCAGTCCAGAAGCTAGTATTGACTTAACTATAAAAATTTGCTCTCTAAAACTCAAACCTTTGCAACAATCCAAGTCGAGCTGCAGAGTAATTTATTGGCTTACTAAAGCAATTGCATTATATAGGGCTAAATTTAACAACTATCTCATTGCAGGCCCTCAGCCTACTTCCTTTTTCACTCGTTACTACAAATACAATTAATCTCCTCTTTCCTTGCTCATCTGCACCTAGGACTGCAGTGCTTTATGGCTCGTGTACTGATAGGAGAAAGGGGTTGGAACTAATGGATTCATTTGCAAAAAATGTTAGAGGGTCAGAGATCACCATTCATTCCAGTGGTGATAAATATTCCATGTAATTGCTGCACAAATGCTAGTGTTTGGGATTTATTTCTATTAGTTTATGAATGCTGGTTGCTTTCTTCCCTCTCATAGTGCCAAAGATGGTGATTCTTGGGAGGAAGCCTTTTGTAATCATTTAGCTGTCATCACCTTCACTCCTGAATCCTTTAGGCCAGGTACAGGCTAGCCCTGTTCCTTTCTGGCAGGTGAGATTCCAGAGCTAACTCCAGCAGCTTAAGGTGGCTCTTCACTCACAACCTTCCTGCTAGCAAGTCAGCGGAAAGCTTGAGTGATAACTATGCTCATGTTACAACTGTAAAGAGCTTTTTTTTTTTTTCCCGAAAAAAATATAATTAATTTCCTAGATGCAATCAGACAACTGTATTTTACAGTCTATAGCAATATAGCCTGTCCTTCCTGTTGGAAATCATTCTTTGGGAAAGCCCAGGTCAGTTCCTTAAGCAAATAAACTTTAAGAAGACTGTAATTCACATTCAAACTATGTCATTTAGGCTCAACTCTAAATCAAACTAATGTAGTCTGGTTGCTCATTTCAAGGAAACTATAATGCGGGAAAAAAGTGCTCTTTACTGAGTGTTCAAATAAAATCAATAGTGATGTAAAGTGTTAATGAATTAATTCTTGTAATATGCAAAAGTATCCCATGGTTAGTGCTTTGGTAATGGGAAGTAAATAAGCATAGGATGGGTCTGTTCTTGCAAGCAGATCTGCAACATGTGTCCTTCCTCTTGAAGCTGATGAAACTCTCTACCTCTGTGTCTGCTTGCTAGTAAGATTACAGATGCAGTTCATGCCCTCATTTTCAATTTGCACTTGCATGACTGTGTTTATTTTTAAATCTACCTAGTCAGACAAACATAAATATTTAACCCACAGTGAAGGGCAGTGTTAGATGTGAAGGCACCTAAGAATCTTTAGTATATCTTCCACAAGACCTATTAGTAAATCTAAACATCCTTTGTGAGGCTCCATAATTAATTTAGACACCAGTGATGACAGTAAATGGTGTTTTTCAGAGAAAATAATATACTCAAGAGTTCCTAACTTTCAGGCTCTGATCTAATAGCACTCTTATTAAGACATGGGGTATTAACCCATTCTTCCTAAGGGGCTCCCACCGTGCCAATATCATAGTATTTGTATCAAAAGTTATTTCCTACTGTGGATGTAAGAAGCACAGGCCTTTGCTAGAGATGTATTTTGTGTACCGCTCTGGGACCTGAGGTCTAGAAATGGGTGGGGGTGGCTGTGAGCCAGGCTGACAGCCAGCGGAGCCAGGAGCAGAGCCAGGCTGTACCAATGCCTGGGAGCCTCACAACAGCCCTGGAGCGTGAGCTGCTTCTAACTGGCGTTCAGAACAAGGGCTGTGCTGAGCATGGAGCTGCCCTGAAACACTGGAGAGATCTGCATCTTAGTCCATGCTCCAGTCTTGAAACTGGCTTCTCACCACTTACAATCCTCTCTGGTGGCACAGCTGCCTTTTCCTGGCAAAAGAATGAGAGCGCCATTACTTCTCTACTGGGACCAGGCTTGGCCCTTCTCATTTCCTACCGTAACCATTTGCCCCAAATGGGTGATCCTTGGATTTCCCTTCCTTTTTCTGCTGGATGAGCATTAAACCTACAGCTCAATTATGCGGAAATTGCCCAACATGTAGGCTGCTGTTTGCTGCTATGGAGAAGCGGCAAGCTTGTACCTCCAGGCCACTCCTCACCCCCAGGGCCACTGCACAGCAGCTCTCAAGTCCATCGGGAAGAAGGGGGAAAAGGAACCTTTAACAGCTGGGATGCACAGCTGAGAGAGAAAACTGAGCATGGGTTCACAAGGCAGGGACTGACTATGTATCTTGATGGTTGTGGTTACTTTGTTTGGGTTTTTTGAGTGATAAGTTGTGGAAATTTACACTTTGCTCAGAAGCTAAGTTTTTCAGGTAGTCCAAAAACATGCTGGGCTCCAGCACTGAGCAGTGCTATGCCTCTTGTTCCAGGAGTCCCAAGGTGGTGATCCTGGTCTTGGGCCATGCAAAATGACATGTGCCTCTAACCTGTGTCTCTAACCCTGTGTCTTGGAGTTGAGGGTGGGCATAAAGTGCTAATTTTTGACACAGGACACCCTTGAGGAGATGCAGAGCTGGTTTTGTCACCTTCCAGGACAGTGCCCAACCACCAGCCTGACAGTGCTTTTTTGGGCATAGGCCTTCATCAGCTCTCACTTCAAGGCTGGTGATTACAAAGGTGCAGTGATTACACAGGTTAAAACAGCAGGCAGGGCACTCTCCTGAGCAGATGGAGACTTATTTAATTTAACTTATTTCAGCAGAATTTCACTAAGTTCCATTTCAAGAGCAGCACACAAACAGGAGATACCAACCTCAAGGCTGCCTGGCAGGCTTCATGTGTAGTGTAGTACAAGACAGGACAGCCAAAAGAAAATCTCTTTGCAGACTCTTTATGACAAGTCCCTGGACCACACATGATACATTATCATGTATCTATTCGTATTTATTTGTTTGTTTATCTATGTTGATTCTGACCTACTTTAAGAAAGGGGAAAAAGAAAAAAAGCAAAGGTTTCTTTCAGCAGCAGGTTTGTGGAGAAGGACCCTGTCTCATTCCATAAGGCTGCTGGCTGGAGCCTCTTGCAGGGTGTAGGTAGCTCCTCCTCTGTGGGGGGGTGGATAATGGGTGGAGATGGAGTCCTTGCGATCTACACAGCTCTGTCTGGTAGACGAAATGAACACCAGCACCTCCTCTTGATTCAGGATCACGCAAAATTAGGCTTTAATTTTCAACTGCTATGTGATCCTCCATGCAGCTACCGAATAGTAAAGAAATAATCAAAGAAATGCATTATTTAAAGTGTCATCACACTCCAAAAGTCTAAGACCAAGTTTTAGTTAGAAAAGCCTGGCAACAGTATCCTGTTTCTGTATTTTAATGGAAAGACCATCAGGCTTGGTGCTTAAGACTTTTAGTCCAACAGTGTTCTCTGCCTGTAAAGCACAGCTGGATAGCAGACCCAAATCTTAATTTGCTTGTGTGTTTTCCCTGAAATAATTTCTGAAGTCTTTTGATGTTGCTGTTCACTACAATTCTGGTGACTTTTGCTTTGATGTCCAGCTCCGTACAGAGGCAGAAACAAATATTCCCAATAAAGTATCCACAGTGCAACGCCCGGAACTCGGAACACTTCAGTTTGTAAAGCTGAGTTCTAGTTTCCAAGCCACCTCCCTTTTCACAATCTGGCCCTTGCTAATTGCTTCAGTGGGACAGTTGTAACTGCAGCTTTGTGACTGAATACAACAGTAAGGTGTCTATGAACAGACTGCTGTGTGTCTAGTATGCTTTAACAGAAGGCAAATGCTGCCTCATGATTCAAACAAAAAAAACCCTTCATGACCAAATTTCAGTTTCCATGACAAGTTAATGGAGCCATTCGCACTGTGTGGATAAGGATTTATCCGTGCAATTCCCCTCAACGTTAATGGGAGTTGTGTAGCTGAATCCCAGACTTGCCATGCTGAAACTTACCCCTAACTCTCCAAGGAGAAGGGCGCTAATTGGATTGGTGAGTTTAAATCCTTCAGCTAGTCAGTCTATGGAAAGGATTTAGCACTGGCTCTGTTAAAGGCTTTACATAGCTTTGCAGTGCAGTGCAGGGGAAGATTTTTTCCCCTTTCTTTCTTGTGATTAATTGTGAGGCTTGAGGTGACAGGAGACATAATGAAATTCATAAATGCCAAAGGCCGTCCCTAGTCACATTCCTGGCTGTTGGTTTAAGTTAGAAACTGACAGAAGTGTGAACAAATCAAGGTTGTTCTGATAGCCTTTCAGTTATGGGGAAGAAAAAGTAACTGACAATGAGAAACCACTGGAAGTGGTTTAATGGGTATAAATTTTCAAGAAAGAGTGATATTTTACACTGATTCAGATCCTTGGATACATAAATGACTTACAAGCAGATGTATTTTGCCCCCACTGCAGTCTGAGGGATTCCAGTCCTTTTTCACAAAAAAAGACACTGGCACAAGTTATTTGAGCAACCTGCCAAACAAAAGCTGTTACAAAATCTGCAGCAGAACTCGAAGTGACTTGTTCTATGTCTGCGCTTGTGGCTGGCCTTGCTCTGCTTGTTATGCATTTTAAAAATCCGCTTCCCTCTCTGGAAAACAAAAGTTGCAGCTTGAACAAGCAGCATAAGAATTAACCTAGGACTCTCACTTCAGCCTGGAAATACATTCTACTACTTCCCCACATTCAGGTTTGAATTACAGTGTAAAGAATTGCTTCATCAGTCCTGTTTTCCTTGTCCGACAGTGCAGAACATGTCACGTCTGAGTATATATTGACCAGATACTGATGCGGTGATCTTTTGAGCCAGCTGCCAGCAGTCTCTCACTGGGGTTTGTGTGATCTGAGAAGGACACACAATGGACAGTTGCTGTGTGGTAGTCCAGCACTGCCAAGGGCTTCAGTTTTTTCCAGCCAAAGATCCTGATGCGATGATCCCACCCTGCTGTTGCTAAAATCTTCTTGTCTGGACGGATGGCGATATCAGATATGCCAGCGTTGACAAGGTTGTGTTTTTTGTAAACCTGTGTGAGAAAATTATAGATGAGCTCTAATGTTTAGAACAGAAGAAAAAGGAACATTTTGGGATTTTAGAAGGTATAATGCCCACCCATATATACTGGTATCACACAGGTAGTATGAGCTTTTCACCACATAGTGAGAACAATTATAGATAGAGATGGAAAAGACCTTAACGTGAGCCTATCTGTCTCCAGCACCATTCTCTAAAAATAAAAGCATCCCTTGTATGTTTTTAGTTTATACTATATTTAAGGCTATTTGTATTCTGTCACAAGGAAAGCTCTTTGTCAAGGTTTTGAGAACCAGACTACACAGCTTTTTTCTTACAGCTATTCTTGCATGAGCTGCAATGTTCAGAGCGACAGCCATATATTTTCCCTGCTTCTGCAATATTCCCATGCTGAGATTCTGAGCTGATGTTTAAACTACCTGCTACTTATTTCTACTACTGTGGGCCCTTACAAAAACCCCAATAAGCTGTGGTAGAATTTACCAGAGTCTTGAGAAAGGAATGCTTCCAGGAATTAGGTTACAGTGTCAGGAAATCTGTATTTCTAGTACTCCTTCCCAAGAGACTTTTATTTACACCAAATTCCAAGAAGGGGATTACGACCAAGTTATTGATTTCAGTCTTGGAAGCCTTTTGTTACTGTTCGGAGACTACTGGGGCACAAGTTTCTGAGGGGCACAATTAAATTGGAAGGCATTTAGCTTCGTTCAGGAGGCACTCCGGGGCTGCACAGGACTTAGCCCAAGAAAAGTTTTCACTTCACTGACGTGAGTTTCCCCTGAAGCACAGAGGAAAAGCTCAATATAATGCACTTTTGCTGTTCTCACCTCAGCTAACTTGTATTAGTCAGCAGACTACCTGGGAAACACATCCAGTATATGCTCCAGAGTGTGTCTGTGTTGAAATAGCCTTGCTTTTGTCACAGAGTGGAAAACACTGTGTGAGTGTATGCTGACCTCAAAGTGCTGTTATTTGTAAGCACAATGGGAAATGACACATTAATGCCACCATCTACTTAAGACTGAATCTGTAGCTATTTTGCACCAAAGCTTCTAAGAATTTCCCAAAACCCTATCATTTAGTGCATGTTTTAATACACTACGTATTGTTTCCTGCTTTTCTGAGGAGGGAAGGGATTGACAAGCCTATTACATCTGAGTAGCTTTCCTCTGGAAAGGACATGCCATGATGCATACTTAGGATTATAAAGAGTATGTTCATTGCAGATAATTTTAACTATAATACTGGATGCAGAAAACTAAAACCCCAGAAACGCTGGTCAAAGTTGGTTTCAGATGCAGTTGAAAGCATCTTGGAATCTTACAGGCACAAAGCTATAAGCAATTATTTTTCAACTATATAACAACTGCCCAGCTACTTACTCAAGAAAAAAGGCTAAATGAAACTTGATGTGCTTCTTGCATGCTCCATACATTCCTCTTTTAAACAGGACCCAACAAACGTGTCTATTCAGAACAGAGGACAGCAAGTTTTGTTCAAGCCTGATGAACAACAGGAGGCTGTACATGGGCCTTTTTGTGGGGCTGCTACTGCAAAACCTGTGCTTTTTGCTAGTACATAAGTTCTTCCAAACTCCCCGGTTACACTAATGTAGCATGGCTTCAGTGGGATTTTTGTTGGCGTATGCATACTGGCAAGGGAAGGATTTATTACTTAATCACCAGCCTGGCAAATGTAAGATGGGCCTTACTCTGTAACTGAGATTATTAGCTAATGGCTATAACCAATCCTGGGTGTGGTGCTTCCCATCATTACTGTCAATTATGCAGGCAAGATCCATACAGCAAAATCAGGCTGACTGGGAGAAATTGCATGTCATCAGCAAGCTACAACTTGAAAATGAAGCCTGTAATGGTGATGCCTTTTGGCTATGGAACATGAGGGAACAGTGGGCATTTGTGCATGATCTGCAAATACAAGAGGTGAGAGAGAAAAACAAAACAAAGTAGAACAACTTGCTCAAGGTATATGCAGCCAGGTGAAATCCTGCTGCCAGGATCTGTACCGTCCAGTCACTTATGGGCAACTAGTGTAGTCAAATGCATACCAACATCATTTCCTAACCAGAAAACCAGCTTGTAATTAAGAAAACAAAGAGGTAAAAACAGGTGAGCTGCTTTCAGCCAGTCATGACCAAGGACACTTGTGTCTACTACCAGATGCATTAAGAAATTTTGACATGTACTAGCTATGATTTTTGTTTTTTTTAAAAATCTCTCCTACACCCAAATCATGTCTTTAAGCCCTATTTTTATTAGAAAAATAGCCAAGATAGCAGCAGCCTTAGCTTCAGCATGAGGTAAAAACTTTAGCAACCTAACTAGCAAAACTTGTGCACTCACTTACATTACAGCCTACAGACTTTTTTTTCTTGCCATGTATAAAGGAGCTTCTGTGATTATCACATTTCTTAGTTCTGCTCTGTTTATTCACCTGCAGAAGTTGTTTACCTCCTACATTCTACCACAAACATCATCACATAATTACAGTATCTTGTCCAAATCAGAAGGTTCATAACCAATCCAGTCATTTGCTGACAGTGATGATTTCAGCAACTTTCTTGTAGAAGACAATACACCAAACTTTCCCCATAGCAATAAACTATGAAGCTACCTTCATCATCTATTCATTGACACACTGGAACATTGCCACTTAAAACAGAGCTGAAGTACCATCATTGCATCATTATTTCTCCAACGGCAGATAGCTATGCACCACGTTTACTTATTAAAACCTTTTAGAATAAAAATAATGTGCCACTGAGTGGCTTTCCAACATCTACCATTACCTCAGGTACCTGGAATGTCAGGAAAAAAAATCTCCATCTGGTTTATATTATTAATGCAATAGTGGAAAAAAACTTAATCTATGTCCTTGACAATCTCTAGTGCTCATATGAAAGATGCATTTTATTAGGGCATTCACACTATGCATGAAGCATAGAAACATTACTTATAGTTTAGAATACTGGGCATTTAAATTTGTTCTGAGAAAAACTACTATCTCTGTGTGATGTGCTGAAGATGTACTAAACCTACATCTCCTGGGAACGTGAATACCCTGTGGAAAACAATACCTGGAATATTTCAGGTGAACAACTGTTTATTTTTCCCATGAGTCATACCTGTAGCCCTGCATTACAGTTAACTCATAACTGAAATGTGCTGTGGAGAACAATATTTTCTTTGAATTTAGGAAAAAGCTATGCTATAATTAATATGAAGGAACAGCTTCCTCTCCAACACCATAGTATTAGAAGCTTTAAGAAGCCTGTCATGATTTAGATTTCTGACACTTTGGCCTTAGAAAACTAGTCTCAATACCAAGTTTCTTACTGGGACTTACCTGCTCACCTTGCTTCTGCTTCCCTGAACTAAGGTCATCAGGTGCAGATGTGTGCCAACAGTGACAGAAAGGCCAGGGCAGGGGGAGGGCAAACATGACAAAAATACCCCAAACCATGACAACTGTGTACCAGACTTGCTAACACTCTTTGTCACATTTGCTTAGAATGCCTTTGCTACTTATTCAGAGTCTAGAGTGCCTCTGTTACTTCTTGTCGTAATGCTTATTAAAGTTCAGATTCTCCTCGGTGAGTATTGTATCCTCCAAACTTCACCTCAGCTGGATGCATTTACACTGCATGCAGTGGAGCCTTAGTGCCCTACCACTCCACAGATGCTAGCTCTGTGGTGATGCCCAGCAGATGATGATATACCTTCACAGTGCCCCCCAGGTGACGAGTCACTGTTGGATGTCCCAGCACTTGCTTTTCTTCCTGTAGCACCATTCAAAAAACAGCATTAACTTGTCACACTACCTAAAAATCTCCACAAAAGCTGCAAGCTGAAAGAGCAATTATTTTTCTTCCACAAACTGGTGTATCCAGCAGCTCTCTTCTCAAGGTTGATATGGGGGCACACAAGGGCTGGTTCAGGCCCCCTTCACTGTGTGTTCAGGGGACAACTACCACTTTAAAAAAGGTTAAAGCACTCAGCAGTGGAGAGGCTATGCATGGGCCATTTTAATTTTCATGAGCCTTATTTATGCACTTCATTTCCACACCTAATTAAAACCTACTTAACCCCTTAGCACTGTTGGAACACTTGCTAAAGTTGTCTAGATTAAGCAATATTTATTGCCATTCACTAGCATAGCCTGAACCGGTGATTATGATACCTCCTTCTAAACCAGCCATTCCAGGTATGCGTAACTCAGACACAAACTGATATATCCAATTAACTTATTTTCCCTGTCTCCAGCTAGGGCTCTAAAGGTGCCAAAGGAAGCTGGTTGCCTAAACCTCATATCCTCTTGGTGCTAGCTGAGCTACTCCCACTCTTTTTGTTTGCGAAGTATTTCATGGAATATTTCTGTCTTTCCCACACTAGAAAGAAAGCTCTATCCATTCAAGCAGAACCTTTGGAAAAGCAATCCTTTGTTTCTCATTTTTATAACTCATTTATAATGTTTAGGACATTTCAAGAGCTGGATACTACTAACGTGATAAATGAAGATACAGAGGCAATGGCTTGAGTAATGCTAGGCTTGTGTGCCTGTTGCAACTTTGGTAAAACCAGAAACATGTGAGAGGGTTTTTTTTTTTTTTCTTTTTTTAAATCCTCACCATCTTTTGCTAAGTCTAGTCACATAGCACAGACATTCTAACCAGTCTGTGATTAATTAGCTAGAGATCTGCAACAACTCCTCTTCATGACTAAATATTTTTTTAGTCTATCAAACTGTTAGTGCAAAGTGGGATAAATGACATTAGAGGGCCAATGATCCTGACCTGGAGGTTCTGTTGCTCATTGAGGCTCCAGATGCTAAGCACCTTTTCAGATGAGCCTGAGATCCCCTTGGCCTTCTCCGAGTCAAAGTCAAGGCTCATCACTGGCTCCTGGTGGCAAACAAGTTGGCTTAATGCTTTTCCCATTGACAAACTCCAAAGGATCACTGATCCATCTTCATAGCCAGCCAGAAGCAACGGTTGTGAACCACAGTTGAGCTGATGGAGGGAAAAGTAAAATTGTTTGAGAAGTAAATAGTCTGTTAAGGAAAATTATCATCCCCAGGAAGGTGCCAAAAAAAGAAATGAAAATGCTGACTGGTGTACAAGTGAAGAGTTTGGAAGTTTGAATGTCAAATCTTGATAGTCCATCCACTTACAAAAAGCATTACTAGGTAACTGCTGACATGCACTTACAGTTTTTATAGCTACATATAAAATTCTATGTTTTATATATACAATACTTATCTAACATACACATATATACACACACACATAGAAAATTTATCTCTGAAAATCCAAACTACTGCTCTCTACAACACCTGAAGAAAGGCTGCCTGAAGTTTTCAGAAGCTTTACTTCATGGCCTGAACTCTGTTAGTGCTCCTTAAAAAATATTACTTAGAGCAATGAAAAAAATTACTTAGAGCAATGAGTTACTATCAAGCTATACAAACCCGTATGGACACTGAAAGAAGTTCCATACTTAAAGACTGCAGTTTCACATTGCCAAGTGTAGGGTTACACATAGGGATCGTTTACCCAAGTGCACCACAGTGCTTAAAGGTAAACACTGAGCCTCTCCTTAGGAATCTCTGGGTGAGTCACCAAGGGGTTAATGGGCGCCCGAGTCCCACTGTAACCAATTGAAGGCTATTTTGATTAATGATGTCACAGGCCAAAGGGCATGGCACCCTGGGCAGACACCTAATTTATTTAAGCCTCTGAAATAACTCAGAGAAGGGAACATTACTGGATTACATGTCACACTTAAGGAAAATATTCATCATTGCTCCAGCCAAAAGACTAATGACCCCGTAAGCAGTAACTGGTTATGTGAGTGAAGATGCAAATCCCTAATGAAAAAGCAGCTAAAAAATAGGCATCTGTTAATGCCAGTTACTTCTTTAATAGGAAAAGAAACACTGAAAGACACATTTGGATCATGATCACCTCATGCAGGCACATCTAAGAAAAGTATCCAGTAGGTTATTCAGCTCTTTCCAAACACCGTCTGATCCTATAGGATTTGTTTGCTTGGTATTCAATTCAAAATAAAGGTAAAGAACATTTATAAAGAATTAATTTTTACTGGTATCACATTATCGAGTGAAGTTCTTCAAACTTGCTGGCTGTCAATGTCATGATACAAACCTGCAGTGGCCAAAGGCTCACTGCCTCTGTTAATGGTCCAGACTATTCTCCCGCTGGTTATTATTTGCTCTAAGGGGAGTTAAACTAACAAGAGATGGGTGGTCTAGGCAATAAGACTGCTGAGTAAAAGCCTCATGTTCTTTCTCAGATTTTTTCAGCCTAAAGAAGTTTTTAAATGAAGACTAGATCTCACTGAGCAGGGAAGAAAATTGCCTCTTAAAAGAAGGAAACCAAAGGGAAATCACCTACACTATCTTTCTGAACAGGTCTGTCCACACCTGGGATCCTGCAGAAACCTCAGTCCTTGCTTTCAGATCCCTTTTCTTTTGAAAATGCAGGGAGCATGCTCTGGCTACAAAGGCCCACAGTGAAGGTCTCTCATAATGCCCAGAATTTTTCTCTCGAATTTTTGATTTGCTAAGATAATATAAGATCAGAACAATTAATATATGTCAATATATGTGAAATAATGTTAACTCATTGGGTATTTTGGATGAAGAGTACCTGGGTTTTAATACCAGGGAAAAGTTTAAAAAAAATCTGAATTAAATGAACATTCCAGATTTTATTTATATATAATAAAGCATAAAACCTTCAAAGCAAAACAAAGAGTTTCATAGCTACTCCAGTTAAGTTTGAAAAAGCCCCAGGTTTGGGCATAAAAAAGCCCCACAATTCTTTGTACTGCTCTTTGAGCACACGACTCCTCCAGAGCCCTGGGGCTCCACAGAAGGCCTAGCTTTCCTTAGCCAGGGAAACGATTTGGGTGGGCAGGGTCAGCTCCTCTGCCTTACTCAAAACGGGATGGCCAGACTCTCATCCGTGCTTATAACCCATATTAAGAGAAGAGAGACAAGTGAGTGCACAGCATTATGGGAAATGCCAAGCAACTTTTTTTTTTTTTTTTTTTGGTGCTGTGTTTATCTTAGCTTAGATTTGAAAAACAGTAATTTGCAAATGAGATCTAAGATTGGTCTATTTTTTTAAAAAAAGTATTGTTTTCTATGGAATGAAGGTCTCCCACACTACTTCTTCCTGACTTTCCCTAACCATATCAAGTGTAATATTTCAATGAGTACGTATACTTAAACAATAAAAGCTATTTAAAGATCAGGGGAGCTCTCAGTCTGATGCCTGGACTCACCAAGTAGGGGTTCACAACAGCCTATTTATTTCTGTTCCTAACAATGGACAGTTCTGGTGAAAAGTCTTCACTATTCATGTTCTGTTTCAGTGGAAAAATGAATTATAAATCATTGTTCTTCCTAAGCAGAACATTCTGTTGTTGCATTTGGATAACTGTCAAGGAAGGAAGAAAAGGTGATCTGCTGTCAAGTCAACAGGAATAATTGCTATAGTTTATATAAAGTAATAACTCTACATTTCCAGTTTCTACATGTATTATTCCTGCTGAATTGTTTTGTTTGCACTGTTACGCAACATGATGCCTTCCCCAAGGACTGCAAAAAATTTAAGGGAAGAGTATCCTCACTACTGCAAATCCTACTCCACCCAATTACTAATAGCAGGAAGGTGTGAAACTGAAGGGACAATGTATTTAACAAAATGAACCTTCACAAGGAAAAAACCCACTGAATGAGCTAATACATTTAAGGACAGCCCTAGTAAAATGAGGGGCGAAAAAAGCTCCAAGACAACAAAATAAAGAGCTGTAAGCTTTTTAACTGCTTAGGAGAAGCCAGCGAGGCTTAATCTAGAAGCCTAACCTAAGCCTTAGTTTCCTTCTGCACTAAAGTAAAGTTTCTAATTCACACTGCTGCTGGTAAGGTGGGTTGTTTCCCTGATACAGGGATGTTTTTTATTGGCATGCAGAAGAATATGATGATATGTGGCTGCAGCCCCCCAACTCTTGTTGGACAACCACGCTGAGCATACTTCCTTCAGACCATTATGCGGCTCTCTCCATGTCAGCTTCTGTTTCAACTTGTTAATTTACTGTGCCATAAGCAACATCAAATAGTCTCTTAGGCAACACATTGCCCATAAGCGATGGGTTGGGGAGTGCTCATCTCCTGGGTATGTCTATATTGCCCAATGCAGTAATGTACAAAGAAATCCTGGATGGCCTCTGTTCAGGAAGGGGTGCAGCTGGGTTAGCTCCTGTTCTCTTTTATGGTTACAGGGTTACTCAGTGAGCTACTTCCAGTGAAACCACAAAACAGAATGCAGAGCATCGCTTTGGTACACCACATACAATTATTTCCCCTTAAGAGTATCCTCCTCCCCCATGCTTTTAAACTGAGTTGCACACATTTGTAGAAGAGCAAATACAGCTGTGAGACTGTAAGGGATTATCTATCCTTGCCTGTTGCAGTCTAGGAAGTTGTGGTGACTTCCCAAAGTCAGAATTTACATTGAATAATTTACTTCTCCCAGTTCCCAGTCCTCTGCTTTATTCCCACTGGCAACAAAATTAAAAACTACATAAAATTAAGACTCCGCACCTGCTCTGCTTCCTAAAGGAATAGCAATATTAATGCATGCAGAAAATATGGCAAGACAGAGGACTTTTTTATACAGGCAACAAAATTTACAACGCTGAACATTGCCTCAGCTATCTTCACCTTATTAAAAAGCAACCAGGAGACAGAAAATCCCATTCATTTCATTAAGTACTGAACACTGATTGCATTTTTAGGAGAAAATTTCTGCTTAATAGAAGACTAATGTCTAATTTTTCTTCTAATTATTTTTTTCCAGTTTTTAATTATAGCATGGGACTTGAACTGCGGCCTCTCCTACTTTTGTCTGAAGACAACAACTGAATTTCTTTAGACTTCACTTGGTTCAGGACCTTGAGTGAAGACACTAACGCCTCAAATTCACAATTGATTGGTAATTTTTTCAACTGAAACTAATACAAATGTTCAGATGAACCTGCAGGAATAACATGCTTGAAATCCACTCGGATGGTACTGCAGACCTATAACAGTATGTGGTCAGGGGGTTAAACTGGGAATCGGCTTTGCCACCAATTGTTTGGAGATTTAGAGAAAATTACCTCAACTTCTTCCTCCCTCCATGGCCACCTTTTTCATTACTTGTCTTTCACTGTTGGCACCCCATAAACATTATTTTCTGACTATTCTGCAAAGGTGATTTTTTTTTTCATTAACTGCTTTTATTTACCTTTTTGTCCAAAGTCAATAGCACCATAAATATTTTGTTCCTATTGTATGTCTGGAATAGAAATGTTCATAGAGTGCTTCCTTGTCCCGAGGGCATTGAAGTGAATGTAACCTGCCATTAAAATCACTGTTTTTAAGTAACCCAATCATTTCTCATCATTTGTAATGCAATGAGAAACCATATCAAACAACTGGCTTCGGTAAGTCACTCATTTTCCTCTTGATTGATGCAAAACCTGTATCTATCCTAAGGATACAAAGCTTTCCCTGAGCATTTGCAAATCTTCCATTAAAGCTTGGAAAGCTCTGAAAGTTACATTAAGGATGTTCACAAATCTTTCCCCCCTTTAATAGTATAATTACTTGATTGGTTTGATAATAAATCAAAATCCAAGTGAAGAAAGATTCATGTGCTTCATATAAAATGAATCACAGGGAAAACATTTCACAATTAGCAGGCGCTCTTGCCTTACCTGCCATAACTTCAGACACATGGGCATGCCCAGCTTGGCACCCACCTCTGGCTTCAAGGTACAGACTGACGTCTTGGATGGCAGCTCCAAAACCTGAACCTGACATCAGGAAAACAAGAGTACTTGGTCAGGCTCCAGGTCAAAATGCTGCTGTTTAAAAACACAACTCTTTTAAGGTGATTAAGGCTAGTATAAGCTCTTCCAGTAACAACTGTCTGGAGGAAACTGAGGAATGTGAGTTAAGTTGGAGCTGTAAGGGAATCTACAGCTATCTAAATAAATGCATTGTTTTAGGAATGACCGGACAAAACTGCTAGAATGAACACATCCTCTTCCTCCACTCTTCTATTTAATCTGTATTATAGCCTTCTTCCCATAGAGTAGATGATATTGTGCATACACCAGATAATATTACAGACTGCTTAATCTGAAAACACTTCACTGCTACCTCTCCCTTTCCCCTTTTTCCATCTCTGCTGCTAATTTTTTTGTTACATTCACTTGTGGACACTTGATTGTCTCCTTTGTTCTGCCATGGTAACACACAGCTTGCATGGAAATTTTAGGCAATAATGTATCTACGGTGGATTTTTTATTTACTGGCCAACTGCACTAACAAAATATAAACCCAGAATTATCTGCTAATGCAGGCTGGAGCAGTGATGCATACAGGTATTTTTAACACAATACTGTCTGACCCAGGGTCAGACAGTATTGTGTTAAACACCTGCTCTCTGCCTACAGAGCAGCTTCTACTGTTGCTTGCACTGATGGCAATGAATTATGGAACTGATTTTTTTTTTTTTTTTTAGCATTGGGTAAGTCTTTCCTCTGCCAAGGAAGTAGCTCATTTCCACCTCAGGATGATGGCAGGCAAGATCAGGGGACTCTGCCTTTGCAGTTTGGCACTGAAAGGTTTTGAGTCTCAACTGACACGGAAGTGCCTCACTCTGGGCTGATTCTCAAGCCTGGAACTATGGAGAAATAGAAGTTCTTAGGTATCAAAAACTTGCTGCCAGGAACTCAAATGCATGCTTAAATCACTATGGTGATCTTTTATTTTAATTAAATAAACAATGGTCTGCATTATCTCATAAAATTAAGGGACTTCAAACATTTGATAAATCTAGCATCACCAGCCATTCTAGACTATTTCAGAACGTGCAAAAGCCCAGCAGTGCTGTCGGACAGCCCCTGTCATGCGAATTTCCTTAAGCATCTGAGATGAGGTATTACACAAATATGGCTCCTCTGGGAGCCATCAATCAAGACCAGGGCAGCTGGGATGGCTTTCCAATCCCATACCTTTAGTTCAAAGCTTGCCAGGACATCTTCCTATTTCTAGAGGTTGTCAGCCAGCCTGCCAAAAGCCAGCTGCACTCTAGGACTGCAAGTTGACAATGTAGTAAACACAATATACAGAACACTTTCTAAATCCACTTATCAATGGAGCAGGAAACTATTCTCCAGATTTGAGGAATGGAGACTATGGCGAAGAGCCTTTCAGTATGGAGACCAAACCTATGAACAGGCAAAAGTTTGATCATCTGGGAATTCTGGTTCTTTGGAGCTACACTCCTAACAAAAGATGCTTTTCTCTTGGTCCTTATGTTGATAGCAAGAAAGTTGCCAAGTTAGCTATTGCAGGAAATGTGCTATAAATACAAAGATGACCTGCTCTCATCTTGTATCTTTCATCACTGGCTCTCCAAAGGGCATTGCCTCCTAGACAAGACTGAAACTGCAACTTTTACGTAATAAGTAATGATAAGTGTGCTGTGATAAATGCACTTCTGCAGGTTAAAAGAAAAAAACAAACCCTCCTTTGCTTTACCTTGATTAAAAACAAATGAACTGATACAAGGGCTACAGTTGGGCTTGCAAAGGACAAAGAAAAACACAAAGATTAAAAAAGCTTTTTGCAGAAGGCAGGCAGGCATGAGCTGCCTATGCTAGACTGACAGTTCCAGAGACTGTCTGCATTAGAGGCAACTGAGCCTTAGAAATAAATACTATTTCATATATTTTGACAACTGTAACCTAAAACTTGAAGTTCTGTGTTTATATTGGTTTTGCTTAATAGGAGAAAGATTTGCCTTTGCCTGAGGTTAATAGTGTTCCTGGGTGGCTAAAACTGGCCACAAGGAAACACACCCTTTTTCTTTTTCACATTAATAAAGCTTTTAACATGTTTCTGGCAAATTGGCAAGAAAAGTGCATGTAACTCATAATTGGTGATTTAAATGCAATCATGAACAAATAAATGCCTGTTCAGATCTCATTATTTATGGACTGAACCTGCTTTAAGACAAAATTACTCTTTTTTTGGGCACCAGCCAAGCATAAACACTTATTAAGTCTTAATTTTAATCATAAGCTGCAAATGTACTGTGTCTCACACAGTGCTGCCTATTTGGAAGCACTATATATTATGGGAGCTTATGTGAATTTATTGAAACCTGACACAGCTCTAATGTAAAGATTCATACACCAAGTGGAACTCTTTTACCTCAGCAGACAGTAAATTGTTATCAGTTTGCAGGGCCCAAGCAAACAAATGAAAATAAAACAGAGATGAGTTGTAAGAGACATTGGGGTAAACAACTCTTTGGAACAGATGATTATTTAATTCTTCACTACCAGAATGTGTGTGTGTACTCTCTGCCTGACACAAAAACTCTTCTCAGGCTGACACAAGAATGCACTTGTCAATTTTGTTTAACTTAAATACTATTGAGCACTGCTGTAAAATTAAGAGAGTTCTTTCTTTGATCAGAACAAGGTATGGGACTTAGAATAGTTATATTTACTGGTGCAGTGGTTGTGTCTACAGGCTTACCCAGTTTGGTGAAAGGCTGAACATTCTGGCTGTGAGCCAACAAAGTACTTAAGTATGTGCTTAACTTCTGAATAATAAAAAGTTCACATTTTCTTGCAATACAGGCATCACTCCCACTTATTACTTTGTATATAAAATATGCAATTTTCAGTTTCAAGATAAGCATCCTATAGTCCAGAAAAGCATGTGACCTTTTATGCTCATGAACAATTTCCAATTAGCTACAATATTTCTTTTAATATTTATGCACTTTTTTCTTTTTTTCATATTTTTGGTATTTTGATGTCGAGTATTTGAAATTATTTTTGTGTGACGTCCTCACATAGTCCTTCAAAGAAAACAAAAATACAATTTCTACAAAGCAGAAGTGGAAATTGCCAACAAAGCTGTCAGTCAGTGATTGCTGTGATAATGGGTATTAGATGTGGACTCATCCAGTAGGAACTGAAACGGACCCTACAATTATCTCACAGTGAGCAAACCTCTGGCCGCTAATAGTAATTCAACTATTTCCAGCCAAAGTACCAGTTAAAGAATTAGCCTGGGGTGAAAGACCACATATCACATTACAAATCACCTGCACCTCCCCTTCTCTCACCAAACACGACTTTCAGCTTCAGATGGAAGATGAGTACCTCCATCTGATGACAGACTTTCTGACCATTAGTTCCCCAGAAGGACTCTTGTTCCCCTTTAACGGCATTCAGCAGCACCAGAAGAGTTTTTAAAACTCCTGCACATGAAAGACCAGCAGCAGCTGCAAATACTTAAATGTCAGACCAATCTTGGGGTGGTATCCTTGTTATTAGAGCATGAGTTATATAATTCAGTCATCTTTCTGGCAGGTAAAATTAGTGATTAGAACCCCCAAAGGTTCCTTGTGCTGCCCTCTCTTGAGCAGAGAATTTGAGAGCAATGATGCTTCCCCTTCCAAACGATCTCATTTCAAAACCAAAAGCAATCTCCCAAGCACTAGAAAAAGAGACACATCCTACCTCTTCCAGGGCTTTGGCTGCCATGGCCATTAGCCAGCGTCCCTCTGCCACTTTTAACAGAGAGCATCTGCAGAATCCCACATTCTCCGTGAAGACAGAATCCATCACTGAAGTCCGTCCCTCTGCTAAATCCCACAAGCAGATCCTCTGGTCACGACCCTGGCTGTTACAGTAAAGTTATCCATGAGCATCAGGTCCGAGACAGCCTGGCTCCCTGCAGGCTAGCATCTCAAAGTCAGGTCTTCAACATGCAGTAAAGGTGTAAGCTCAGTACAGCTTCTGTGGGGTATTAACTGGGTCTTTCATGGGACGTGTGGGAGCTCAGCATCACTGAGACCACCACCCTTCTGCTAACAGGATCAACAGTTACCGGGAGGCGGGAGGACCCCAGCCAGTCATACACTGCAGTCACAGCCAGCCATGTTCCCTTGTGAAGAGAGACTTGATCAGACACAGTTATGCTACTTATATGTGTGTATTTATGAAGTCTCACAAGTATTTGAACATATTCATAATAAAAATACTTACATTTTACCATTGATTAGATGGTAATTTAAAAGGAAACAAAAATATCCAGAGAGTAACATTTAACACTCTTTGACCCTAGCAATGAAATAGAAATGTCAGGCATGTTGACAGCTGAAAGACAAATAGCAAGACACCAAAGACCGCATCAAAGACCAATAAAAAGCTACAGTTATTCAGTGGTCAACTTCCCACGGCCACGGGGAGGGCACAGAAGACAAACTGTGGAGACACAACAGGAGAGGGACTGGCAGTGCAGCAAGTAGCAGGAATTGAACAGTGAAATGCTGTGTTTAGAACATCCAGAACCAGAAAACCAACAGCTGCATCCCTGATGTACTAGTGCAGCTCACACAGAGCCCTCTGCATACCACTCTGTCCCACAGAAACGTCTGTGTGTTGGTCCCAGACAGTAAGACCAAGGAGGCCAGACAAAGGGCATGGCATTAACACTACATATTTATGTGATCTCACTGGCTCTGGAACAAAGTACCATTGTGGAGAAACTTCAAATCCACAAACTACACTAGCACAAGGTATGTGTCCTCATGTTATCACCTGGGACAAGGAGACATCAGAAATCCCTTACCCATTTCTTACTTTAATTAGCAGTATCACCTGATGGAAGTATGAAACCAAAACAGAGCTAGATGCAAACCTACAGACTTGGGATTTCCTCAACATCAATAGAGAAACTCCCATCCGTTGTTCAGCTGAGTGACAAACTGTCAAAACATTCATAGCACTGGGCATACAAACAATGTGTACTGCAAGAAATTGTTGTGATTTAGCTTTAGAACACAGAAACAAAAAATACAGGTAACTGCTGTCCTAAAAATCACACTGCTATAAATATAGAGAAAAAATAGAGGCATGGAAAAACTCTATAATTATAAAAACAATGCTCATTCAATATGATTTTATAGGGCAGAGTGTTGATAATTGTACTTAAGCAGATAACAAATATAAATGCTAATGAGTTCCACTGTATATTATAAGAGATGTCTTCTCTAGATAAACATGTCAGAACACCTCCTAGTCACACAGACACTTTGGCATCTACTCTAGATCACCTGTCTAATCCAAAGTACACAAATCTTCCCGACCTTCCCTTGCTAAATGAGAACAGAAGATATTTTGCAACGAAGCAAAAGTGTGCAACTCAGCATTCTTGCTCATTTTCAGTCTTCCATTCTTCATCTCTGATTCTTCACTTCCTTCCTTACCTTTTCTTCCTCTCCCCTCTATTTATAAACTCCTTATATCAATTTTGATCTTCTCTGAGAAACAGTTGTAAAGCATCTGTCTACTTCAGGTGTACTTCCTTCACCCAAAGAACTCACCTGATCTCAGTGCAATAATAAAGACACCATGGACCCCAAGCTGTTGCAATGTCATCACATATATATCATAAAGAGATTAATTGTATCATTTTTCCACTTTTTGTTCTACAGTTTTTCTGTATTTTTGTACTTCTGTACTTTTCTGTATGTGTTGGAGAGATATTGGAGAGACTTTCAGTGACTCCAGAAATAAAGGATTCCTTTTTTTTAACTTTTTTTTTTAATTCTTCTTCAATCATCACAGAAACAAGAAAAATTTCAGTTTTTTGCCTGCTTTGCTAACCTGAGGAGCCTGTCTTTACCACACATTGTCTCCACACAGTAGACAGATTTTCTTCCATGGCCATCCAGTGCTGCATCCACTCTGTGTGTCTTCAGGTTCCAGACATGGATAAACCCATTCTCAGACCTGGCAGTAAGAACAGATGCTTTTAGTGTGACCACCGCAGATGATCTGATAAGACAGTCTGATACTTCCTCCTTTTTTTAAAAAACTGAAACTGTATGTACGAAGACAACACACCCATCATTCACCAACCATGCATTTTGTTGTTTCCTCCAGATATCATCTATCTAAATAATACACTTTGTTTTGAAAGGAAATGTCCATATGATGCTCAACTCAGCCAGAAATCCTGGTTTACTTACCCAGTAAAAAGAACAGGGACATCAGGTTCTCTGCCTCCACAGGAAAAACGCAGAGTGTGGACTGCAGCACTGGTACCTCTGAGAACAAACTGTGGATCTGGAGGTAGCAGAGCCATCCAAGCAATGAACTGGGGGGTGAGAAGATACAGGTATCACAGAGTGCGAGGCAAACTAAAGTGAAATTACAACTTGAAATAAATTCTGATTAGGACATTTGCTTTTCCTAGTCACTTTTCTCTTTGGATTATCATTACTGGATGCTATTTCTATCTGCCATACAGTTCAGCGTAAAGTATTTCCTCTTAACACTGACTGGCCAAGCAGCTGTCCAATCTGGGGTTTGCTGCATTCCTTTTTAAGGAAGGTAAGTGCTGAGCTGGCCACATGTATGCACCTCTTGTGTACTTGTAAATACAAAATTGTTCAGCTGTTCTCCCTGCTGCAAAAAGGAAGAGCTACAAAATACAAGAAACTGGATACCCATAATTTCAGTGGGCAAGCAATTTATCATTCCATTTAGCCCCTTGGCAAGTCTTTCCTCTTCCTCCCCATAAAAGTACTACTTCTGTGCTTTCCATTCACAACCGTTTACTGAAAAGCATTGCAGTGAACTTATCAACTGAAAAGAATTTCAGATGAGATTAGAGTTATTAATCCCATTACTCCCAAGTGCTTGAATTTTTGGTTCCAAGCATGGTTACTTTAAAAAGAGAAATGCACTACTCCATACTAACTTAGTGGTTACTGTGTTAAACATTTTATTTTAAGGGGTTTGTATTCCCCAAAGGATCAATAGAGATGGATGCTTTCAGCTGTATGTCATCGGTTCAAATGCGGTCCGAGTCAGCAAAGAACAGGACAAGTATATAGGGAAGCATGTTGCCCTGTCTGCCATGGGAAATGTGAAGGACAATTTATTATGAACCTGCAGGGGTAGTTTGTGTGACCTGGTTAGGGACACTCTTCCTGATCTGGCACCTTCGCCAAGTGTTTCCATTCACATTAACACCTTTGCAGGCAGTTGTGCACAAGCACAAAGGAGGAGGATGACTTTTCTGTGTTCTGACTTGCTGCAAATGACCCTCCAGACCTGTGCTGGAACAAGGTAACCAGCAGATTCTTTGGCTGTAAGTACCATTTGCAATTCATTGAGAAGTGCAATATAACATGCACTACAAGAAATATTTTCACTGCTTTATCTGTGACATTACTTGCCATGCTTGTATTTCTGCTTCTTCCTTTCTGACCTGACCTCATACAGAAAAGGATGGCTTTTGACACTACATGTCAACTCTGATTACTCTTTCCCATTCATGCATATATTACACCAGATTAAACAAAAAAGTTTTCTAAATTCTGTAAGGGAAGATCAGCAGGTGGTTTTCTGCCTGCTGGTTCACAGCAGAGGAATCGCAGAGAACCAGAACAGAGTGCTAGAGCTACAAGTTACACGGTAAATCAAAACAGCCCAACTTTTGTCATCTCACTTCAGTATCAGCTTTTGAATAGTCTTTAATGGATGCACTTGCTATTGCACCTCATTTGCAGGTCTGCCTTGAGTGTTTATAGATTGGTAATCACCATGGTATCTATAGGTCCTAATTAAACACAATTATCTTTTAGGACTAGTGATGAAACAGGATTCTTCAGCATAATGTGCAATTCTCCCTCAATAGCACTGTGTAATTAGGTATGAAAATAATGAGCTCAGTGGATAACCTCCATGTTTTAGTGCCCTGACTCATGTGTTTTATGATGTTGTCTGATGATCTAGACTCATGACAGGCTGGAATAAATTTTCAGATGATGACACGAGGTACAGATTTGCCCCCGTGGTGAGATCCAGCTCTCAAGTGCCCATCGGTAACATGCTTCTCCTGTGTTATAAAACTGTTAGATTTTGTCACCACAAAAATGTCCCCACCTCTTTGGGACACACCAGCTGTATGCTGTTGCCCTCAAAATGACACTTTGTAGAACCACGTAAATAAAATAGTAGCTAGCGGCTTGTCAGAGGAGCGGGGTCCCTCTTCACGGTGGGACAATCCTGGGTTACTGCACTGAGCAAGCAAGACAAAATAGAACTGAGTCAACCCAGAGGCTATCTGGGATTACAAGGCAGGTTTTTAATAGCATTTTTCTAATTACTGACACAGAAGTTTTTGCTGACAGACAGCAAGTGTGTGCGTGGCTGTGGGAAGGGTTTTACCTGGCATGAAACAGACGCTACTAATGCATGTCTTTACAAGGACAATATTTCAGAAAAATCCTCAGACTGGCTACAGGTAAAAACCCAACAACTGAAAACATACTTTCAAGCTGTAAGCAAATTAAATTACTTTTTGCTCCTTGAAGCCTGGTCTTTTGCTTGCTTTTTTTGCTTATAATGTATGTGAATCTGGAAATTGGGCTTAACACTAGATCTATGTACTTTTTTATTTGTCCTATGACTCCTTATTACTTCCTATCACAACTCAGCAGATGAGTAACAGTGTGACAGTATTAAGCATCTGATTTTTCTTCCAGCAAGTGCTGAACTATAAAATTGTATCTGAGCTGTTTTCTTCATCCATGAGTGTGGACAAGTCGCTTAAGACCAAGATTTAATTAAAAGTTCTTAGGTACCTAAATCAACAGAAAGTTCCATGAGGTCACAAATAGATGGAAATTTGGTGCCTTAAAAACTCCAAGAAAGCATCCATCTGTTCTTGTTGACACATAAACATCCTCCAAAAAAATGACATTTAGCCTACCTTCAACTCACCAGGTAGCTCAATATCTCTACTTTACTTACAGGGATAATGAAATACATTGTGGTATACTGATACTAATAGCTAATGGTTATACCGTGCTTTGCTAAGCAGACAGCTACAAACATGCTAAAGATGATGACTGTGCAATGGTTAAAGCCATTGGATAAATTTTTCCAAGGTGCCTAAGTGATTTAGAAGCCTAAGACTCATTTTCAAATGAATTTTCAATCCTAAATATCTGGAACTTTTTAAAGTTTCACCCCAGGTGTCTGAAAATGAGTTCTCTAATTAGCACAACATTTATTTTCTTGTTAACTCCATCTAGCCCTCAGGGAGACCAATCTGTTCTTGTTAACTGGGGATATCTGCAGCAAATTTAATTAAATGAATTTGCTTAGTATTTAGGCTGGTCTGAGAGCAAAATCTGGCTTAAGGGCTTGAACAAGCAAAGTGCAACCTACAGAAGAAAGTTCATTTAAAACCATCATAGCGCTAGACTACATGTTTGTCCCTGAAATATCCACATGCTATGACTCCTGCCTTCTGTAAAAGGATGTTAAAAAAATATTAATTTTTCTTATGACATTATTTGTTTGCAAGAGGGTATCACCAGTAAGAAATGCAACACCTCATCATTACACTCTTGTTTTTTAAAAGATGTTCTATTTTTTATTTCTTCCAGCCTTCCCTGTGCTGGTAACAGCATCCTCCTTCAGGGGCTGAGCTACACTCTGATGTGATACAGACAACTAGACATATTTTTCACAAGGTGCACTGCAACCCCTTGAGCTCCTACATAAATTATATTTGCTACATGAGCGAGTAGTGGAAACTCCAGCTGTTCAAATTAGTGTTTCAATTAGCAAACGGCTATGTGCACCGCACATTAGGTACTAAAAAGGGTTTTGACAAAAAAAAAGCTTCTACTAAATGCCAGAACAATTGAATTTCCTTCAAAATTACACTGTCTTAAAGAACAATTCACTATTAATATCCCTCACAAAACTTGCTTTGTTTAGGTTGCAATTAGAATAATCTTCAAACCATTTGAATTTCTATGCAGTGGTATTCCAGTATCATCACTTCAGCATTTGATATAAAAAAGTTAAGCTTTTATTTAATGAGAGTCATTTAAAATATGTAAATGTCAAAAGGATTACCTTGGAAAAATCTCTAAGAGAATTAAAAACATTAACAGATTCCCACAGGAAAAATTCCAGCAGAATTCAGCAACCCTCCTGTTCCCACTCCTGTCACTTGTATTTCTATCACACATTGAAGCAAAAACAAATTGCTATTAAAATATCATCCAAACACCCTCCTCCCCCTACAAACTCCACAGTTCAGTTTGAGATACCAATGGCTCAAGCAAAGACAAGAAAAAAATCCTCTTCTTTTTTTTTTTTTTTTAGGCTTATTTAGAGTAGTAAAAACTCAGTGGTAAAAGAGCTTTTTCAGGTATAGAAGAAATAAATCTCTCTAGGCATGTCTGGCAAACTTATTTGGGACTGAAACTAGCAGGTGTGCAGACATAATTACTACTGCAAAATATTCAACACATCCAGGTGTGCTTACAGATATATGAAATCCCTGTTATTTTTTGAAAATTCCTAGTCTACCAGGTGCCACCCTCCCAAAGGAAAAAATCAGAGCAAAGAATGAGTTGAGAAAGATGTGAATAAATTGTTCTTCCCCCTTTCCAGGATGTTTCTTTTTCGTTTGTACAAACCCCCTTTTTCAGCCTGCACTTCCGTGCCTACCTGCCTTCACTCGCAAGTTTTGTGACACTGCCATGTCGTACAGCGGAGCTCTAGTGCACATGTGTTTTCGAAGTGGGTCACTGGCTGGAACTGCAGAGGAAGCCAATGGAAATAAAAGACTCCCTCAAATTAATAGTGCAGTGCAAACAGTTTTGTTTATTCCATCACATTTACCATCTCCAGCGTTAATGTACAGCAGGCAGCCCTTGCAGTATGAGCTTTCCAAGCACAATATTGCCATGTTTCCAGCCTGACACCCACTGCAGACAACTCGGTTTCATAGTGGTGAAACTATGAACTATCCTCTGCTGAAGAAACACCCTTATCACACGGCTGCCTGTGAGCACCGTGGCCCTTCCTCATGCAGCCAACTATCGCCTGGCTGGTGTGAGAGTTACCTAAGCAGCAAAGATAGATAAGAGGGGTCCCACCGGCACCCCACTCATCTCACTGAATTATGCCAGAACACAGCTGGACTTGGAAACATCTTGGACATCCCTGGTTGACATAAAATGCTGCCTGGTTATGTGGCAGTTCTGGCAAGTGGAGAACAAGACTTTAGGGCTGCAAGAACCCATTTAATGAGTAGCATTTCCATAGCTAATTAAAAGAGAT